CCAGTCCTCCCACAGTGGACCCGGGGGATCCCGTGGCACACGTGGCAGTGCTCTTGGGGAGTCTCAGGGAATCTGAAAGGCATCAGGGTGGGCGAGGTGGGATGGTGGGTGCTGGCTGGACACAGAACTGTGAGTGCCAGGCTGGGCTTTCCCTGCTGCACCCATGGGAAGTGCCCAGCGTAGGGAGTGAACTGGGAGGGGTGCAGTGTGAGTATGGGTGAAGGGGGGGTACCCTGGGATCCCCATGGAAGGGGTGCTGCCCTTCTGAGTCTGCCTCTCCAGCCTGGTCCTTGCAGGGGTGCCATGGCACTCACCGCGGGGTCCCATCCCTCTGTCCCTGGGATGGCAAGCAGAGCATCCCATCCATCTGTCCATGCGTGTCTGTGTGTTCCTCCCCATTCCCTCCCTGCCCTGGGCTGGCACAACGTGCTGCCAACGTGTTCCACCGTCACCCCTGCTGCCAGGCTCCTGCCAGCACTGCTGGGGACCCTCCACTCTTGATGTCCCTCACCACAGGGACAGCACGAGCCTGGCACCGTCTCCCCATTCCGCTATTTAAAGCTGGGGCTGGGGGGAAAAAAAATAACCGTGGAGGATGAGGATGATGGTGGTGGCTCCGGGCGCCCTTGGGGACAGCCGGCCCCGCATCGGCGTCCCCGGGGAGGGCATGCCATGGCCTGGCACAGCCGGGCACGGGGCTGGGAGCTGGACGCCAGGCGTTTGCGCTTTAATGCATGAGGACAGCTCGCAAATTCCAGGCTGGCGCGGCGAGGTGCCGGCCCGGCCGAGCGGGCGCTGCCAGCCCCGGTGAGCGCGGCCGGCCCGGCTGCTGCTCGCCCCCGCCGAGCCGCGGGGCTGTGCGCGGCCGGGGCAGCCCGGGGCGAGCGCCAGGTTGGCGTGGAAAGGGCAGAGTTGTAGGGTTTGTGTCTGCCCTGGGTGCGGGCACCGCTGTCCCTCTCCTGTCTGCGAGGCCCTTGTCCCCCCATCTGCAAGGGTCTCTGATCTGTCCTTGTGCAGCGACTGCTCTCCTCTGTCCCTCTCAGTCTGCCAGGGCCGCTGTGCCCTCCTTCTGCAGGGAACCCTCTTGCCCTTGTCCCCTCCTCATCTGCAAAGCCCCCATCCCCCTTTACCAGAGCCCCCTGTCTCTTCATCAACAGAGACCCCTGTCCCCACTTCTTTAGGGACTCCTGTGCCCCCATTTCCAAAGCCCCATGTTCCCTCCTGCCTCCAAGCACCCCTGTCCCCCTGTTCTGCTGAGAACGCTGTCCCTTCACCTTCAGAGCTCTGTGTCCCCTCACCTGCAGGGCCCCCTGTCCCCCCATATGCAGATCCCTGTTGCCCCTCTCTGCAGAGCCCCCCATGCACAAGCCCCCTGCTCTCCCTGCCCCCCTTGTGCAGAGCCCCGTGTCCCCCCATCCACGGGGATCCCAGAGCCCCCACATCCATAGGAACTCCTGTCCCCACATCTGCAGCTCCGGGGTGGTTCCCTGGAGGTTGTTCAGGGCCAGCTGGTGCCACCTGAGTCCCCGGGAGAAGGGCTGACCTTTCATCACGGGTAAACTGAGGCAGGGAATGGCATGAAATCCTCTCTAAGAAGTGTTTTTTCATCCCTTCCCTGAGTATTTCCCCCAAATCTGAGCCTGTCAGTGAAGCCAAGACCCCCAGGCTTTGCCCCTATCTCCTCACTACCGTGTGATCTCCTCACATTCAGACTCCTTAAATAAAAAAAGCCTTTAAAAACATGTATTGCCACCTCGTTGGGAAAAACTGGAGTCACCTGGAGAGCTAATCCCGAGGCACCCCGGGGCTATGGGTGCTCCCTGGGCTGGCTCCCGCGGGGCTGGTGGAGGAGGGGGCCCTCTGCTTTGCGAAGGCGTTGGGGGATTAGTGGGAGGATTGGTAAATCTGACCTCAGGTAAAGATTAAGACCCAAAAAAAAAAAAAAAGAAAAAAAAATCGTTGTGTTTTTTCCCCCGTGCCTGATGCACCGTGAAGATTAAACTGGGATGAGTCTGTGCAGCAGCCAGTTCGATTAGGGGTGGGGGACAGCAGCGAGGGATGTGAGGTGGGGCAGGGATGGGGGCTGTGTCCGGGGCTCTGGAGGTGCCAGAGCTGGGGAAAAGGGGAATCTGGGACATTGGAGGAGCCGGGGGGCCTGTGGCCAGTCCCGGGGGTCCCCAGGCTGCCTGTGGCTGGTGCTTTGGGGGACAGCCACATCCATAACCACTGGCAGCCTGGGAATAGCTGGCACTGGGCTGTGTGGGGGTGGCTTCAGCAGCTCATCCCGATGGACAGGGCTGGAAAGCGCCCTGGCAGTGGGGATACATCATCCATGAGAGGCTGGGTGTGCTCTCATCCCACCCAAGGTCCCTGGGCTGCATCCCACAAACCATCCCACCACGCAGCCCCCTCCCAGGATAAGCAGGGACCTGGTGCCTGATATTCCTGACCTTTGGCCAGGACCCCCACCCTCCGTGGGGCTGGGGAGGCTCCCAGCAGAGCTCTGGGAATCCTGTCTATCCCACCGGGGGTGTTCCTGCGGGAAATGATGGGAAAGGGGTCAGGGGGCTCCCCCCAGGACACAGAGTGAGGGACATGTCCCTTCCCACAGCCAGGGTGCTGGGGACAGGTGGCTTCTCTGCCATGGTGTTCCTGTGTCCTTCTGCTGATGAAGGGGCAAAGGAAATTGGGAAAAGCCCCTGAGGGATGTCTGGCACTGGGAGGGAGCTGCAGTGGCTGTCCCTGGGGAGGACCATGGGGTGGCTGACCCCTCCTTTGGGATGAGGCTTTTTGGGGGCTGAGCACTGGCTTGGGGATCCAGCAGCATTTGGGGCTGTTGAGCACTGGGTCGAGGGGCTGAGCACCATTTTGGGCAGCGGGCAACTGGTTTGGAGGTCAAGCATTGCTCTGGCTTGGGGGTCAAGCACTGGTTTGGGGGTTTGGTGTTTTGGGGGGCTGAGCAGCAGCATGAGAGTCAAACAGCATTTTAGGAGACTGAGCCAGCTTGAGGCTCAAGCACTGTTTTGGGGGCTGAAGTCCAGTTTGGGGTCTGGGCAGCAGCTCAGTGGCTGGTTCGGGGGGCTGAGCCCTGTCCTGGATGTCAGGCACTGTTTTGGAGGGCTGAGCACCATCTTGGGGTGAAACACCTGTCTGGGGTGTTCAGCACCCACTCAGGGGGTCAGTGCTGCCTTGGGGGATGAGCCCTGGCCTGAGAGCTGAGTACTTTTGGGAAGCTGAGAGCCAGTTTGGCCACCAAACACCAGTTTGGGTGGCTGAGCACCATTTCAGGGGGCTGAGCACTGGCTCAGAGGTTGAGCAGTGGTTTGGGGGTGGTTTAAGCACTGTTCTGGGGCTGAGCCCCAGTTTGAGAGGCTGGATCTGACCTGAGGGGGCTGGGGGGGCACCCCACTGCGGGTGTGATCCTGTCTCATGTCCCGCACTGGGGTGTGGCAGTGCCAGGGCAGGGGGGGTGTTCCTGCTCTGCCTTTGCCCCCTGTCCTCAGCACAGAGTGGGGACAGGGATCTTCTGTCCCCAGACAGGGACAGACAGCCCCTCTCTGGATGGGAGCATCAGGAAAAGCTGGCTCTAGGTCCCCTTGCTGTGCCAGGTGTGTGGGCCCATCCCAGCCCTCCCCTGCCTCAGTTTCCCTCCTGCCCAGTGTTCCAGCTGCTCTCCCGTGGGGCTGCCATGGGCATCCCTGCCCAGACAGGTGGGCAGGGAAGGGTCATCTCATCCCCACGCCCAGTGGCTGGTGCTGTACCCTGGGTAATGCTGGGCTACCAGGAGCATCCCTGAGTGTTCCCCTGGGAGCTCAGGTGTGCTGGGTGTCCTGGCAAACCCTCACACAGCCAGCTCTGTGCTGGAGCCTCTCCTGCTCTCCCAAAGGAATTGAATCTCCCTGCCTGGAGCAGGGTGGCCCTCAACTGGCACCAGTTTGTGGGGAAGGCGTGCCTGGGTGCAGGGGCACTGTCCCCTGCCAGCTGAGCTGCTGCCACGGGAGTGGGGAGAGCCAGGGTCCCCTTCCCAGGGGTCTGCAGGGCTGGGGAGGTGAGGTGGAGCCCAGGATGTCTCCATCCAGGGGCAAGGAGGGCATGAGCCCACCCTGAGCTTTGCAGGTCACCTTGAGCCCTGCTGGTGCCCTGGCCTGGGGACCCAGCTGGCACCCTGCCCGTGCCTGGGCCAGCAGCAGCTGCACCATCCCCTCTGCCCCAGGCAGGGACAGAGGATGGGACAGGGCTTTTTCCTGGCCTCCCGGCCATGCTGTGTCCCAGGGCTTGTTCCTTGTGCCTGCACCTCCTCTGGAAGCACCCTTGGGCTCCTTTCTTCCTGGGGGTGCAGCTCTGCCCCTCCTTGGATGCCACTCTCCTCCTGGTAGGTGGGGGACAGATCCAGACCAGGCCATGCCTGTGGCTCCATGCCCAGGGTCTGCATCACCCCACCAGGGTCATGCCAGTGCCATGGCCCCACAGGGTTCCCAGAATGTGCTGATCCTGGGAGCTGGTGGGGTGTGCTGGTGGGAGAAGGTGTCCTCGTAGCAGAGGGACACCACTGGGGACGCTGGAATCTCCAAGTGCCATCCCCTGGAGTCAGAGCCTGTAGTGGGGAGTAGCTCCTGGGTCCCTCGGGAGCAGATGTACCACACCCAGCCCTGCTGCCCCTGAGAACCCCCCATCATTTACTGGGTGGAAATTCAGGGTTGGGGAAAGGCCTGGGGATGCGTCTCCAAGTGCCATCCCCTGGAGTCAGAGCCTGTAGTGGGGAGTAGCTCCTGGGTCCCTCGGGAGCAGATGCACCACACCCAGCCCTGCTGCCCCTGAGCACCCCCCATCATTTACTGGGTGGAAATAAGGAGAAACTTGGAAATTCAGGGTTGGAGAAAGGCCTGGGGATGCCGGGGGTGGGAAGGGACGGAGTGCCCCAGGCCAGGATGACAAATCCTGGGTGATGCCGGGATGCTGGGGGCGTCCCTCTGAGCATTCACCCGGGAATGCGGCCATAGGTGTGCGCCGGGGGCAAGACAAACCCCGTGAGCCCTCAAGGCTGCGACCGCCACAAGCTCATCTCGAGGGTGAAAATCGCTGTGGGGCTCGGCCACATCCCCGCCCCGCTTTGCTGCAGCCACATCCTGCCGGGGGCGGGGGCTGCGGGGGACCCTCGGGTGGGCTCGGGCCCGGGGGGGCCGTGCCGTGTCGGAAATCACGTGCCGCCGGGCCTTGGGGCTTTACGGGAAGCGAGGGTTGAGGCGAGGGGCAGCTCCCATCCCCCCGGGACGGCTTGGCCGGGGTTCAGCCCGGATCGGGCCCCGGAGCAGCTGCCCCGCGGCGGCGGCCGCTTCCCGGCAGCGCGGGGTGCGGGGGCACGGGGAGCCGCCGTGGCTCCCTCCCCCGAGCAGATGGTCCCTCGGCAGCAAAGCTGCCCCTTCCGCATCGATTACCCGCGCCGGCCGTTTAACGATCGCTTTCCGGGGTTAATTAAACTCTTCTCGCCGAGGGCGGCTGTACCTGCCTGCAGCCCTGATGCGCCCCCCAAAACGGGGGGGACGAGCCTGTGGCTGGAGCTGGGGTTTGCTTCCAAGCCCAACGTTAATATCCATCCTGGAGTGCGCCGTGCCTGCTGCTCCCGGGGCTCCCGGGGCAAGGTCAGCCGCCGGGGCTGGTGACATCCCACATTCCAGGCAGCACGGGCTGCTGGAGCAGAGGCTGCCCGGTGTTTTCCCCTGCCCGCTGTGTTTTTGGGATCCAACCCCACGGCCTCGCTCCGTGGGGCTGGGTCTGCGCCCACCCCTGTCTCTGTTCACAATGATTTTGGAGGAAGGCGTCGAGAGCTCGGCGGCAGACGGCGGCTCCGGAGCCGAGCGGGTCGCGGCCCTGGGATTGTCAGGAGTTGCTGCTTTTTGCATATCTAAATGTGCCCTTTCAGCCGGCGCTCTCGGTCGAAACTGCCATCTTTTGCCTCATTGTCAGCCTCGCCGAGGTTACGCATCGTTTGCTGACTCACAGCCTCCTGCTCTAATTACTCGCTCAACTCCCTCCCTGGAGCCACCCGGCCAGTCCCGGCACATCCCTTCCCGCTGCCGCTCGGCCGGCCGCAGGGCTGGAGCCGGGGCATCCCTGCAGAGCCCCTCCCTGCACCCATCCCTGCCCCCGGCTCTCCTAGAGCTTCTCTCCTGGCTGCCTGCTGCAGCTGCCCACGCTCACCCCCATAACGCTGATGGTTTTGGGGTGCACACGGGCGTGGGTGGGCTGTCACACGGCGCAGCTGACCCCCATGCAGCCGCCCTGCCGGGGGCTGGCCGTCCCCCCGGGCACGGCCCGCCGAGGGATGCTCCCACCCACCCACGCAGCCCCCGAGCTCCCCGGGAGCATCCCGGGGGCGCGGCCCCCCCTCGGCGGCAGCGCCGGCTGGGACGAGCCGCGCTAAAGCCGTGAGCTGAGCCTCTCTGATCCCCGGCCGATACCATCAGCCGCCGGGGCTGCGAGCCGGGCCCAGCGTGATTTCCAGCGTGGCGGAGATTCGAACAGACGCCGCAATTACCGATGGCATCGGGCTGATCCCGCTCTTGGCCTGCTGCTCCGCACTGGCTGGGTCCTGTCCGCCAGAAACAGGGAAAGCACCGGCTCTGACCTTTTTAATATTATTATTTTTATTATCATCATCAACATCAAACTATCCCCCCATGAGTGTCACGGCAGTGGGAAGAGCGTGCTCTCCTCTGCGGCATCTCCCTTCTCAGATCCGTACCCCTTCCGAGGAGAGGGGACCCAAACTCCCCCATCCCAGCGAGCCAGATGGAGGCAGGGGCTCATTTTATCTTTAATTAACTTGATTTTTTTTATCTCCCCCTGGTTTTGATCAGTAATATCGAGGCGGGAACAACATCCCTGCAAATCCATCTTGCTAAGGGAGGTGAAACCAAGCCGGGTAATCCGGTGGTAAGGACAGCGCTCCGACGGGTAATGCAGTCGCGCTTGCCTTGGAAGAGGAGATATTTTATATATTTATATACCAAGGGAAAAAAGAGCTGTGGATGTGTTTGCACAGGCTTCTGCCTGTCACAGAATGGTCCAACCACGCATCTTATCTCATAAAGCCATATTTTGGCCCTTTTTTTTCCCCCCCAAGAAAGTGAATTTTAAGCGCCAGGAGACAGTGATGGTTTCTTTGGAGCTGTTAGGATCTGCCATGTACAATAAATCTGTCTTAGTTTGTGGATTATTGGCCCAATAGACCGTAACAGCTCTGTCAGCCCCTCCTGGCGCGCTGTGTCCGGCAAGCTCAGCCTTTGGTGGGTTTTCCTGGTTTTTTATTATTTTTCAGCAGGAATTTGCTAAGGATTTTTCCGTGCCATGTGCATGTATGGCAGCTGATAGGGAATTCACAAGAGCTCAGTAACGTTCTTAGGTTTTGGGGTGGTTTTTTGCTTTTTAAAAGTATTTCCCCTCTGGAAAAAACCCAAATGCACAATGTTCAAATCCCCAAAACAGGACGAAGAGGAGGGCAGAGCCTTTTCTGACAGAGTGCATCCAGCTAGGGGCTGCCTCCCCAAAACTTGTGCTGGTTGAGAATGGGGTTTTGGTGAATGGGGTTTCCAGGAGGATTTTCCCTGGATGGCCGTGCTCCCACCAGCTGTTGTTCCCAGTCCACTGTGCTTGATCCAAGCCTGGAAAAACAGGATTTCCCAGGGATGGTGTGGGAGGATGTGCTGGCCCCTCCAGCCTTACCAGGCTTCGTAGCACATGCTCCTCTCACCCTCAGCCTGAATTTGAGGGGGTCTGAACCCCCCGGAGTGGGGGGGATCTGCAGCTGGTCCTGCCCCAGTGGCAGTGCCCTGGTCCTGCTGCTCAGCCTGGTCTCAGCGTGGCCCTGGGTGATGATGTGGGGTGCAGGTGGAGGGTGAGATGTGGGGTGCACAGTCACGATGGGGTGAGGAGTGGGGTGCAAGTGTGGGGCACAGGTGGCAGGGGCAGGCAGGGAGGTGTGGGTGCCAGGCTGGTGGCACAGCTGGGGGGAGTGGGGAGGCTGTAGGGCTGGGGAGGACACACATCCTTAAGGAGAGCAGGCCTGTGGGATTTGGGATGGGGAGAGAGCAGGCTGAGATCTCAGTGCTGTCTGGGACAGGGCTGGTGGGTGGCCCCTGGCACGGCGGGGGTGCCAGGCAGGGGTGCCAGGCAGGGATGCCTCAGAGCCCCCCCGGGCGCTGTGCTGGGGGAGCTGCTCTGCTCCCAGCGGCCCCTAAGCCCATTAAGAGCTCAGGGAGCCTCACACCTCTGGGGGCTGCAGCAGGGACGTGCACTGCTCCAGCTTAAACCCCTCGAGCTGAAGCGGGGGTGCTGCTGTGGGGACGTGAGGGTGCCTGTGGCCATCCTCTGGAGAGACCCTTCCTGAATCCCAGCGTGGGTGCTGGCTGCTTCCCCTGGGATAGGCAGGGCTGCAGCCCTGGCACCAGGATTTGGCTTTGTTGCATTGTTAAAATGCATCATCAGGGTGAAAAAGTACATTTTTTTTGGTCTGAAAAATCCTCAGAGGAGGATGTTCCCCCTCTGGGTGCTGTTGTTCAGCATCACAGTGTGCAGGAGAAAAGCACAGGGAGGGCAGGTGGGTCCATCTGGGATGGGGATGGGGAAGCCACACTGGTCAAGGGCAGCTTGGTCAGGAATTGCTTGGGATTTGTTCTACCTTAGCCTTGATGTGTCTTATGGCAAAAGTGTCAGGAGCTGTGATAGCAGGAAACCCCCTTCTCCCGCCAGACAGGTCTTTGTGGAGCTCGTGAGATGAAAACAGCTTTGTCAGAACACTGAGGGAGATGTTGTGGACAGTCCCTAAAATTCCAGTGGCTCATTCCAGACACAAGCATAGGTTTCTTTTTGTTGAATCCACCACCACCAAGTCCATATCTGCTGGTGCTCCAGCTTGTTGGGGGATGGATTCTGTGGCCGCTCCCTTGCCCAGCTCATCCCACAGCCCCTGCTCATCCCCCAGCCTTGCTCGAGCTCATCCTCCATGGATCATGCTGCTGAGGGCAAGGTGCAGGACCCCCTGGCATGGGGAAGATGGGGGAGGACGGGATGGAGGAGGCTGGGGAAGCAGCAAGTTGAGGAGCATGTTCATCCTGGAAGCTGAGAGTAGGCAGGGGGAACCCTTTTGGTTGGGAGCTCTGTGCTCTGGAGCTTCCCTCCCATGCCAGGAGCTTGGCAGTGCTGTGGGAAGACCCATCCAGAGATGGGGATATAGGTGTTGGCTTTCAGAAGGGATGAAAACCCTGATGGGCTCAAACCCTTCCCTGGTGAGGGAAGATGGTTCTCTTGCAGGGGGCTCACCAATCCAGCAGGTTGGGAGTCCTGAACCCACCCTGGGCTTGCTGGAGAAGGGCTGGGCCACCACGTGGCAGTCACCAACTACATCCAACCTGCTCCTTGTCATTGCAGCCTGCCTCCTGGCAAGTGAGGGAAGGCAGAAGCACTGACTTCCAGCTCTAGTTGTAGTGTAGCCCCTCAGAGCTGGGGCCAGGAAGGAGCAGTGAGCCCAGACAGGCTGACACCCTGCAGTCAGTCCCCTCAAAGCACGTCTCCAGTGTGACAAGCCCTTTCCAGCTCCCACCAAGCAGTGTTTCCTTCATGCTTCAGCTTCCCCAGGCTCAGTCTTGTGGCCCTTCCCTGTCTTCCTCTGTGTTGTGACATTGTAGACGGGTTTTTCCATGGCTGCTCTCCTCGAGGTCATGGAGTGAGCTCTGTGTTTCTTGCTGTGAGTCCTGCAGCCCTTCCAGCTGAGGGTCCTCCCATCCTGACTCATGCTGCGGCTGGTGATGGTGACCCCTTCCCACTTCCCAGGACTCCAGCTCTTTGCTTTCCAAATGTCCTGGGGTTAGTTCTTTAGGGCCTGACAGCTTCTCCCACATCACCTCTGCTTTTTAAATTTTCCATAGAATCAGAAAATTCTCTGGGGCTCAGAAGAGACTATCTCATTCCACCCCCTGTCCTGAGCAGGGGCACCTTCCACTAGCCCAGGGTGCTCCAAGCCCTGTCCAGCATGGCCTTGGACACTTCCAGGGATGGGGCAGTCACAGCTTCTCTGGGAATTTGTGCCACCTTCACAGGGAATTTCCCCCTAATCCCTGATCTACCCCTGCCCTCTGTCAGTTTAAAACCCTCATGCCTGGTTCTGTTACAACAGGCCATGGTGAGAAGTCTCCATCCCCCGATCTTCCACACCCCCTTCATGCAGGGAAAGGCCACAGTGGGCTCCCATGGCTGTGCAGGACCCCCAGGGAGAATCTGATTGTCCCACAGCAGTCCCAGTGTTTTCTGCAGTCACGCTGGTATCTGATCAAATGCAGAAGCTGGGCCTTGGTACAACAGCTCCCTGCCCTGCCACCCCACCATGGTCCTGACAGTTTGCTGGGAACAATTTTCCAGGAACACTTTTCCTAATAACTCTTGCCAGCAGGTAGCCCAGCAGTGCTGTTTCTCTGTCCTCTATTGCCATGCACGGGGAAGGAAGATGCCCTTCATTTGGGCTGATCCTTGGTTAGGAACCAAGAAAGATATCCAAGAGGAATCTCTGCCTCAGGAGTGTTTGCTGTGAGTTGGAGGCAGGTCCTGGTTGGAGCAGTCCTTGTGTCTGAGGACATTTGGTCAGCACTGATGCCAGGGCTGCAGTGTCCCCACCATCAGCCAGGACACCCTTGGGGCTCCCTGGTGGCACAATCCCTGCCTGTGGCTCTGCTCTCCTGCAGGATGAGATGCTGGTTGCTCCCTGGGATCCAGCAGGTGCAGAAGGGAGGAGCATCATCTTCCTCTTGATCCCAGGATGCTCCACTTTGCCCATTTGTTTGGGTGCTGCATTAACATGGTTTCCTTGACTGCCCAAGCCCTTGAGTGTGCACATGGCCTGGGAGATCTGGGTCTGGTGCTATGACCATCCAACATGGAAAAGCTCAAGGAAGGGAAAAAGACAGTGAGGGGTGCGGGAGACCTGAGGACCAGAGAAACCAGCACCTGAGGTGTTCCCTAGGGTGAGCCAAAATGGTGGAGCACCTGCCAAGCATCCCAGCCCTGGAGGTGCTGGCACTAAGTGTCCCCATCCTCTGGCACCCAGCATCCTGGGCAGCACCCTCCTCTCTGCCAGGCCTCCAGCTCTGTCCTCTTGCTCAGCACCTTCCAGCCTGCCCACCTGTGCTGCCTGCAGCTGTCCTGGGCTCTCTGGTCCCGTCCCCAATGCCTCCAGCAGGATCTGGCTTGCAGCAGGGGATGTCTCGGGGAGCAGGAAGCTCTCGGGGTGCACAGCAGCGAGCTCAGCTTGTGTCTGAGCTAGAGAGCAACAGGGTTTGCTCTGTGTTATTCTGGATCTAAAAGGAAAAAAAAAAAAAAAAAAGGGATTGCTCTTTCCCAGTTCCTGCATTTCCTGAGAGCAGCCTAGCTCCT